TGGGGGTGGGGGATCGGAGATGGTTCGTGGACATCCTGTATGCCATGCCATGCAGTCCCTGGGTGGTGGTACGTCAGCAACATCGACCACATGCAGGAGGAGTGAGACGTCCTGGCGAGGTGACACTTTGCGAATTTACGTCCGCGATGTTCGCTTCTCTGCGATCCCGTGGTTCTGGGGGTACGTTGAGAGAAAGGTGGATGCCAACAAGCAGTTTTCCCCTCCCCGTACTACAAGTGCTTGCGCACGTTCCTCGCGCTGGACGACGACACCCTGGGAGTGTTCAAGCTGAAGGTGTTCGAGACCAGATCGATAATATCGCCAGAACCTGCTTGTGTGCGCTGGCATGACGTGATTCATGAGGTGGGACATCAGGTTAGCCTGGGTGTGGATCTCCTCCAGCTGCCAACTAGTTGTCCACATGATTGAGCTCGTTCGTGCACGCAGCAAGCAGCAAGCAGCGGAGCCACACTATACCGATCGATGCAGATGTTGTCTGTGCCACAATCGAAGAAACGCGGCTGCATGGCTTTCGCTCTGCAGTGGGAGTTGGCCACGGTTGCAGCCGTGCGTAAGTAAGGCTGTGCAAGAACGATGTCTTCTCCTGCCCGCATCTCTGCGCTGGAAAGTCTTTGCAGCCGATAAACACTCTGCTGAGCTGTTGTTGCATCACACCACAAGTCCTCCACCCAAGCATACAACCGTTGTTGCTGGTGATGTCAAAGTAACGCTTACTCCCGATTGTTGCGGGGACTCGGCGTCCTTCTACAACCTACAATATGTTATACTGTTAGAGCCTGTTTGTGCATGGTGCTTCAGTGTTGCTTGTTCGGGCTTCTTGCTCATTCCCTTGCTGGAAACACCACTGCTGCAGCTACCGCTCCTCCTCCTCTCCCTCCTTGCTCTCCTAGTGTAGGTCGTCCCCCTCTTGGCATGTCGACGACTACTCTTGCTGCGTCTTTGATGATGGTGCATCCCACCGACCCAGAAGATGAGGGAAGCTCGGAAGACCAAGACGGGAACAAAGCCTCAGTAGTTTTGCCCCGATCCCATGGCGCCAGGCGCCTCTGAAAGATTCTCGGCTCTACGACCTTCGCGTGCTCCTAGCCCTCAATGCGGATGGTTTCAGGGTTCAAGCTTCATGAACGACCTGAAACTGCGCTTCCATCGGGTCCAATCTGGTGTCCATTGCATCGGCTTCGGGCGCAAGCCGTTGGGAGCTTCACTTAAAGGATCATGGGACTTAGTAAGTAAGGTTATAAGTCCCTTAATTGGGGTTATAAGTATAGTTACCCTAATTTTAACCCTACTTACTAAGTCCCATGATCCTTTAAGCAGAGATGGCCAAGGCATCACGGCGCAACCGTCCGTGCGCGGACAGCGAAGGTCCCTTTGGGAGGGGGGCAGAAGGCGCTTCCGAGCTTCCCAGCATGATATAGAAGCCTAAATAATTACCTATATATATATATATATATCTCTATCTATATATATATATTTTTTTTTCTCAGGGTTCCTTATTATAATTATAGTAGCCCCAAAACCCTGTGTTCCGGTCCATTTCTCGCAAGGCGGCTGAAGCCACTGCGCTGGAACGCCAGGCTGGGGGGCTGCAAACTCCTAAAATCCAAGCCTTAATAGGCCCATCCGAGATCGTGAGACTTCGAGAGTCGTATAGCCGCATAAATAAGTTCCTTATTTACAATTATAATATAATGGGCCCCAAAGCCCTGTTCTAATTATTAAGGCACCTACATTAGCCGCTTTCTCAACGACTTCGCGCAAGTAGGGAGCTTCACCACGAAGCGGGCGCCGTAACTCAGAAATTCAGAAACCTCGCAGATGTGGGAATGTCAGAAAACTAGGGTACCTTATTTCGGGGTCCTTATAATAAGGATCCTACTAGTTGGGGTCCTATATCAGGGTCCCTTATTTTCTGAAACTCCCATGTCTACCCATTTCAGGTCTGGGTGCTTTGGGGTGCAGAGCGCGCCTGTTGATACTCGGTAACCCTGTTCATGTTAGGTCATCCGTGCCCTCTATGAGAAGAGGGTACTGGTCGGAATGTTTGATGGGTAAGGCGATTATTGTTCTGCGGCCTCCTCAATATGTATAGTCTAGTAAAGGGGTCTTAATCGTTAGAACAGTGTATTAATTGGGGCACAAGTATAATTNNAATTATACTTGTGCCCCAATTAATACCCTGTTCTAATGATTAAGGCCCCTTTGTTGCTTGGCAAGCACGAAGATGCGAAGTGAGTCGGCCGAAAGAAAGTCCCTCGGACGAACCGGTAGAAGGTTGAACCCCGATATGCCTAAAAGCCGCTGGCGTACCCTAAACTCTTGGACCGGTTAACCTCTACACCCTGAGACATTGCAATCCTGAAACCCTTTGAAGGCTAAACCATGAAAGCCGCCTTTTTACAAGCCCCATGACTCCCAAAACCCTACACCCTAAACCCTAAAGCCCCATGACTCCCAAATTAGATTCATTGCATCGGAGAGGCAGAGTCGATGCGGCGAGGGCGGCGGGTGCGCGAGCTGCTTCGCGAAGATCTGCCAAGAGCATCATTTGAGGGTCCTCTTGAGGCTTTGTTTGAAGAAGTTGTTGGCGAGGATGTTTGCTTACAGTTCCAGTTCTTCAGGTTTTCATAGGTTGACGGCTTGGCTTCACACCGAAGACTTACTTCACGGTCAGTATTACTCTTTTCTGCTTTGTGCTACCGAGGCTTACATCCGCAGAGCAGATGCGGCAGCTTTGTGACGTCATGCGTCGCTTGGGCATAACTCGGTGAGACAGAAGCCACCAATGAAGGCTTCAATGCAGCATCATGGCACAGGGGCATTTCCGAGAGTCGCCCCAATCCTCTGAAGCATAACCCTGTGAAGCTAAGGAACTATGCATCGTGGCGGGCGCACGGCCACTTAGCAAGCATCGTGCAGGGAAAGCTTCGGATTCCATATTCCCTAAACCCTAAACCCCCTAAAGCCCTAAAACTCTACATGGGTCTCATCTGCAAAGGCCATCCAAAGCCTGCCGCCTGCCGGCCCAAGGAAAGTAAAGACGGCAAGCAAAAGCGCCTGGTGTCACACGCTTGGAGCTCCATGGGCAACCTGAATTACCAGGAGCCTGGGGATGCCTTCTGGCCATAAGAGCGTACAGCTACTGACTGCCCTGAGGACGACAACGTCTGTCGCTGAGTTTGTGGCGCACGGTGTGCTAGTTTTTGACAGATGCCGCATATGCTGTTTCAGAGTGCACTTACGTGCTGGCCTTTCGCTGCATCAAACGTAATAAGTGGCACAGAACGCAGAGAACGGTGACGTCTGTTTGGCAAGGCATCACGACTTCCTTCACGTGAGAACTTCTGGCCGAAGGCTTGAGTAGTACAGGATTTTCCGCTGTTTGGGGCATGCATGTTCATCTCGCATGATGCCCTTGCAGCAATCAGGCGGTCATTCAAGGGGCAGATGCGTTTTGAGCTGGGTCTTTCCCACGTGGGCGTAGTCCTGATGGTAAAGCTGGTGAAACTTGGGTACATCCAGCTCTCATACTCAAACGCATCGAGCTTTGAGGAGATCTGTACAGATGGGCACCACGCAGTAAGGTGCGAGAAATACCGATCATAGCTCCGACGATGTCCTATAGAGCTCTCAGAACTCGATGCCTTGTGAATTTAGCCAGCAAGCACTGCTGTTGTCGCTAGCGGGTGAGCAGGCTAAGCAGCAAGGGCAGCAGCAGCGGAAGGAGTATCCGTCTTCTCACCCTACCCCCTACCGCCACAACAACAACCACAACCGCAGCCACAACCACAAGCACAAGCACAAGCACAAGCACAACCACGACAACAACAACAACAACTGCTGCTACTATTGCTGCTGCTGCTCCTGCTGCTGCTGCAGCTGCTACAGCGACGACGACCACTACTGCTACTACCTCTACTACCTCTACTACTACTACTAC